AGAAAACCCATTTGAAGTCACTGAGAAACAAAAGTGCACAGGGCACATGGACAAGGTTATGTCAGCATGAGTGGAGACCAGATTCTATAGGCTGAGGAAGCAATGTAGAGGCTGAGGAGCACAGGGCCAGCCATGTGACTTTTGTGATGTTTGGAGGCATCGGCAAGGTATGTGTCAACTGAAATGTGGTTGCAACTAGCTCATGCATAGTGGTCTCAATTTCCCACCACTGTGAGTAGCAGGGGGGAGGCGATTGCCCAAGTGTGTGAAGAAAGACAGTCAGTGGACTAGCAATAGATTCAATGTTCCAGTTTCTCACTGACCCTGCACCAAAGTCCTGGGGTCTGAGGGGGCCCTGGATAAGTTGCCTGTTTGTTCTGTATGTCTCATTCTTATCACAAACTCCTATCTACTGAAGGGAATTCTGCCACAGAGCAGGCTTCGAGCAGGTCAGGAAATTGTGGGCTTCACCTAACTTCAGGGTGCGGCAGCTCACACAAGAGCTGCTGAGTCTTGTGTGCACTGGAAGGAGGAAAGTCTGTTGGCCCACTGTCTTCATGGTCACATGACAGGAGGTGGGTGAGAATATGAGACCTCCGATGATGAACTTACATCACAGTGGCGGAGGGAGTCTAAGAAACGATGGAAGCCACTGACAGTGACAACCTACGACCCCTCTGAATGCAGGCACATCTTTGCCTGCAAAGTTACAGGACCCTTTCAAGGGAAGAGGAAAGAACATCCCAAGATGACAACCATTATCCACATATAGAAAACTGGTCAATCACCTGCCTTCATGAGCTTCCAGTGACCCTGTCCTCTGGCTTCTGCTGCAGGTTCAACAAGGACATCCAGTTCATGATTGGCCACAAGCCCAACATTTTCTGGCAAGTTACATGGAGAGTAGTCAGCCCACTGATCATGCTGGTCATCTTCCTCTTCTTTTTTGTTATTGAGGTCAACAAAAAGCTCATGTATAGCGTCTGGGACCCTAACTATGTAAGTGCCTTTGGGCTGGGGGGAGAGCTGATGGGGAAGGAGGCAGATAGTGGGGTATGAGGAGGGTAGAAGGATTCCATTCCAAGAAACAGAAGGTGAGATCATAGGGATCTGCAGACCTTTCCCCCATCTGTTACCTGTGGATCTCTCCCCAGGAGGAGTTTCCCAAATCACAGAAGGTCCCATATCCCAGCTGGGTGTATGCGGTGGTGGTCATCGTGGCTGGGGTGCCCTGCCTCGTCATCCCCTGCTTTGCCATCTACAAGGTCATCAGAATTCGTTGCCAGAAGTCTGGGGACCACCATGGTCTGGTCAATACACTGTCCACAGCCTCTGTGAATGGGGACCTGAAGTATTGAATGGGCCTAGCCTGTATAAGGCAGAAGATGGTGTGTGGAGGAGGGCAAGAGGCAGGACCCTTGGGGGAAGTGGGCTGTTATGTGTGTGAGTGTGTAAGTATACACACATGTATTCATGTATCACACAGGTGTGTACACAAATGTTACACAGACATGTGGGGCACATAGGCATGTTTATGTGTATATTGCAGTTGCATATATATATATGCAAAGAGAGAGAGAGGTGTATGTACATATGTGGTTCATGTGCACATGAGTGAGTATATGTGTAAGTGTGAGCTTGTGTATGTATGCACGCTGTGCGTATATTTATGCATATATACTGAGAGGTGCCTTTGTGTTTGTGTATATATGTGTATATGCACATGAGTGTTATATGTATGAATTTATATGCTCTGTGTTAACACATATGTGTGCACACACATGTGTATACACATATTCATACATGTACCTCTATAGATACAAGCATATAAATGTATGAACACGCACCTATAAACCTACGTACATATATGTATGTGTGTATCTTCATGTGTAAATTTTTGTGTTGTGTGTGTACATGCATGTACACTTACATTTGTACATTGCATACAGGTATGTGCACATGCCTGTGCTATCTTTGTACATGGTGCATGTGAAAATGTTTTTTATATGCTCAAGATAGAAATGCCTACCACTCTGGCCTGCTCGTCCTCCACTTGCCCTCACTGTAGGGCTTGGATTGCAGACACGGCTCAGGACCCATCTTGTGCTGCAAATTCCCAGCAGAGAGCCAGAAGTGAAGATGTGGAGGCTCCAGGACCATCTCCTTCCCTCCCAGTGGAAGTAGGAAGAGTAAGGCTATGCTGCTGGCCTGGCTCCTGGACATGCTGTCCCTGCCTACTCCCAGCTGATCCCCTGGCCCTTGCTGTGAGTGCTGGACCAAGGCCCCTGAATTAGAAGTCTGGGCTCTTCTGCTCATTAAGGAGAAGCACAGGAAGCTGGAGGGCTTGCAAGGCTGAGATTTGTCTCAGGCAGACCCGGCACACCCTTGCTTCCTGAACACCTGCTTAATCCCTGGTTGCTCAACAGGCTGCTGAGCAGTCAAGCTGACTTTCCCTTCTCTGCTGAAGTGGGAGCCACCCTGTGTACTTCTGAAGAGGGCACAGACCCGTAAATCTTTAGCCAAATGTTGGAGAAGGAGGGTTACAGGGTAACTCAGGTGTGGCCACTATGCTGAGGACTCCAAGAGTCCTGGGCACCCCAGTGACTGAAGCCTAGAAGTCCTCAATCTTGTGACAGTCAGTGAAGCCACAGAGGCTATGTCTGCCCCTCCCCCCAATAAGCTGGTTGTTTCTGGGTTCACATCCACTCTCAGTCAGAGGTCCTTGAGACTTGGAGTATTTACCGCAATAAGCTACTGTGACCGCCTTCCTCTTTCCATGGAAAAGCCCAAATTTAAATAGAACTGGACTTCCTGAGAATTCTCACAAACAAGGGAGAGGAACTGTGGTGGGCCCTGGTACCATGTTCTTCTTACCATGTGACACCAGACAATATTTCACCTACCAAAGCAAGCAGCTCCAAGTCCTCTCACAAAGTTCCCTCCTATACGCTCTGATCACTGAGGTGCCGTGACCTAAAGAACCATACAGAAGCAGAGGGAGGTGCTTGGCCCTGGGGAAAATATGAAGGGGTCTCACACTAGTAGTTTGAGTGGGTCCCATCTATGGACCTCTGAAGCCTCATCTGGAAAAATACTGATTGGCGCCCATCAATTGTGCATACCAGAGATTCCTGTGTGGCCCTGTGTGGCCTGGCTGGAGGCCAAACAAATTATCTGCTGTCTCTGGTCCATGCCTTATGTTTAGGCCTCATGTCTCCAAGTATGACAGAAATCCAGCCTAATTAATGGCCCTAAAATACATTCTCTCAATAAAACACTCTTATTCTATGTTCTTGGATTAAGAGTCATTATTCTGCCATAGAAGGGTGAGCAGGGTCCATGGCAGGCACCAAGGACTTGCAGGCATGATGTATTCAGGAAGTCCAGCTCCACCTCGCAGACAGCTGTGGATTGGGGGATTTCTCTGAAGAGGTTCTTAGAGCCCAGAGGGACAGCTAAGACTGCATCATGGCTGTGTAGTCTTACATACTCTATTGCCTACTGGCAGGTGGCCAGAAGGTCTTTGGACTTGGGACGTGGGGGCTGCATGGGAATGAGGTTAGTTGGAAACAGAAGTAGTAAGATTGGGGAAGTGGAAGGAGAGAGAATCACAGAACCATACTCACTCAGCACAGGGGGTAGGGTGACATCAAGGGGGTGCCCCTACCCGAGACTCTCTTCCATACTCTCCACTTCCCTCCATCTGGTGTCTTTTCTCAACCTTTTACTCACTTTAGCATCTGGCTCAAAAGAGGATCTCCCATAAATGCAGCTCCTAGAGCCTAGGCTTCTGAAACCTACATATTCGCCATTGTGGCTGCATGGGCGGAGGATGCCTTTAGCCTGTCCCCAGGGAAAAAACATCATGAGGGGAGAAATCTTAGAATCTGGAAAGCATCACAAACATGTGTGGTAGCATCGCTCTGTCCTGCCCAGCTCCCCCAGACAACACTGAGACCACTAATGCAGAACTCCCTGCACAGGAAGACGTGTCCTGTGCTCACCCCTCAAAACTCTTGTCCATGGAGAGCTATGGGCTATACTCACACAGGGTCATTCGTGCTGTGCCAAGAGTCTGGAGCAGGTGCAGCCTGAGGATGCACGTGGGGTTTTTTCTTGACAAATTCACAATACAGAGGTTTAGGACTAGCCACAAAAGCGAACAGACAATTGATAAATAAGTGTACTTGAAGGCAAAGCATGTGGTAGAGCCACCCCCCCACCCGACTTCATGCCCCAGGGAAACAAAGACCATGTCCAACACCCACATAAGGTCAAGGTCAGCTCCTCATAGTAGCTGCACCTGGGACTGGCCTAGTGGATGCGCAGCTTGGACAGTGGTGTGCATTCTGGGCAGCCACGTATTGCTCAGTAAGAGAATCCAAAGAACCCCAGGCTGTATTGGGAAAAGGCTGAAGGTATGGGCTGTGTGTTCCAAGTCCATTCACAGCACTTCATGAGAGAAGATGACAGGCAGCTTGGGCCGCTGGGTCCACTGGGGCGAGCATTACTGGGCAGCAGGTGCCTCCCCTCCAGGCACATTGTTTCGGCCCACAACACTCCTGTCTCCATACTGCCATAAGTTTCAAGGTGTCATCTTGAAGAGGAGAACACTTTGGGGTCTTCTCTGTTGTCTCTCATGGAAGGTGAGCATGTATTACTTACACCACAGGCTTAGTTACAGAGTAAACAGCTTTAATGGCCAACTGAACTTGCCACTCTGGGAGTCCTGCAGGTCCTATGGAGCATCTGGCCTATATTGAGTGTGGTACTGGCAGACTCTGCTACTCACTGGTCACATGATACCAAAACTCTCAGGCAGGCTTGTAGATGCGGGTGTTGAAGATGGACTCTGCAGTAGGCAGGAACTCTATGCCAGTTAGTAATTAACTGGGTTTCTTTAAATAAATGGAGAAATTCCTCAAGGTGGAACTGACTGCTCCGGCTTCCTCAGTCCAGCAGAGATTCCAGAGGGCCTACTGGACTAGTGTGCGGCAAGGCACCCACTGTATACCCACACATCCCAGCCATTCCCAGGGTGACTGCTTGGCATGGCACAGGCCTCGGGGATGGATCCACTTGTGGACATGGAGGATGAGAGGCCAAAGTGGGACAACAAACTCCAGTACCTCCTGAGCTGCATCGGTTTTGCTGTGGGGCTGGGCAACATATGGAGGTTCCCCTACCTGTGCCAGACCTACGGGGGAGGTAAGTCACCTGCTTCACACCATGCCCTCACTCTAGTTTTTTCCTGCCCTTGAGTGACAACTGTCCATTCTTGGAAATCATGTTTTGCCGTTATCCAAAGAATAGGCTAGTGTCTTTAAGTCAGTCCTGGCAGTCAACCTTCTGGTATCTTGAATAAGGGTAGAATGTGGTACCGTTGCTGCCTATCATATCATGCCCTTGTCCTGGGTGTAAGTAGCAGACTCTGGGTTCCTATCACTACCTTGGTGTCCAGCTGGACTCAGGGTTAGTTTCTTCCTGGTTCTTTGCACAATATTATAACAAGCTGCTTGACTTCACCAGTGATCCACCCCCAACACCAACGCAGCAGCTCTCCCTGAGAGCCCAGAGGTTCCGCAGGACACCTAGGACTATGAACACTATTTTATTGATCATTAAACTCTACCTAAGAGAACCTATTACTTAATAAAGGAGCCAAGTCACTCCATAAACACAGCTTCTCTCCCTCAGACACCTGTTTACCTTCACAAAACTACAAATTCAGGGCACACACTGATATCTCTATCCTGGAGGTGCAGGAGGAGACAGATAGGCTGTACTATCTTGAGAGCTAACATGGAATGCCTCCCAATTGGGCAGTTGTGACTTTGTGGGGCCAGGCTGGGACACCAGGCTGACCTGTTCCCCAGATTTTCTTAGCTTTTATATTGGGTGTGGGTGTGTTTGTGTGGAGGCCAGAGGACAACCTCAGCTGTTGTTTCTCAGGTGCCACCTACCTTATTTTTTGATACATGATCTCTCATTGACCTGGAATTTACCAAATAGGCTTTGGCTGGCTGTCCAGCAAACTACAGATATCTCTCTCTCTTTGTCTGAAATTACAAGTGTGCAAACCATGCCCAGCTTTTTACATTGATTCTGGGACTAGAGCACAAATCCTCATGCTTGCAACGAAAACATTCTAAGCACTAGGCTATATCCTCAGCCTACAACATACTACCTTAAAAAAATAAGCAACAGGAACAGGAAGGATGAGTTGGGGAAAGGATGGAGAGAGAGAGAGAGAGAGAGAGAGAGAGAGAGAGAGAGAGAGAGAGAGAGAGAGCTGGGAAAGACAACTGGATTTGGGGGTCATCTTGGGGATGAGCTAGAAACCTAGAGCAATGGAAATTCCCAGGAATGTACGAAACTGACCCTAGCTATGACTCCTAGCAATGGAGGATATGGAGCCTAAACTGGCCATCGCCTATAACCAGGAAAGACTTCCAGTGGAGGGATTAGGACACCACCAGCCACATAACCTTCAACCTACAATCTGTCCTGCCTACAAGATGTGCTGGGGTACAGGTGATGCAGAACTTGTGAGGGTGGCCAATGACTGGTCCAGCCTGAAACATAAGCCACATGAGGGAGTCCACCCTGACACTGGAGGGCCAGGTTCCTAATGATATTTTGCTATATTCATAGATTCGTGCCTAGCCCAACTGTCATCAGAGAGGCATCATCCAGCAACTGATAGAAACAGGTGCAGAAACCCACAGCCAACCACTAGGTAGAGCTTGGGGAACCCTGCAGAAGAGGATGGGAGGGAAGGATTGAAGGCTCCAGAGGGGGTCAAGGACACCACAAGAAAACCCACAGAATCAGGCTCACAGAGACTGGACAGACAATCAGGGAGCCTTAGGCTGACTTAGGCGCTCTGCATGTATGTCTTCTTGTGGGACTCCTAACAGTGGGAGCAGGGGCTGTACCTATCTCTGTTGTCTGCTTTTGGGACCCTATTCCTCATACTGGATTGCCTCTTTCAGCCTTCAACTCGATGTACCATGTTTGGTTGATACCCATGAAAGGCCTGCCCTCCTCTGAATAGAAACAGAGGCATAGTATATGGGGGGGGCAGAGGGAAGGTAGGGGGAGCTGGGAGGACAGGAGGAGGAGAAACAGTGGTTAGGTTGTAAAACAAACACATTTTTAGGAAGATATATATATTTATGTATATATATATATACCTTCCTAAAAATACACACACACACACACACACACACACACACACACACACATTTAACAAAGGCCCTAAGGTCTGGGCGGCATCTCCATGCCACTCCTGAGGTCTCTGCTGCCCCCCTCTCTGGCAGTATTACCTAAATACATGCTAGGAACAGACACTGCTCTTGTGAGCATGGCCTAAATGTGTCATCATTTCATTAACCACGCTGATCAGCTGTGGGCATCCAGGGTTTTCTGCTCACCCTGTGTCCTTGCAGGGGCCTTCCTCATCCCTTATTTCATCGCCCTGGTCTTTGAGGGGATCCCGCTTTTCTACATTGAGCTCGCCATCGGCCAGCGCCTACGAAGGGGCAGCATTGGGGTATGGAGGACCATCTCCCCCTACCTTGGTGGAGTAGGTATGCTCCCTTCCCAGACCATGCCACCTGCTCAGGCCCCTTGGGGACCTCTTAACTGGGGGTGGGTGGGGCACACCTATGATGGGAGACATGGCAGGCATAGGAAGACAGGGCAAAGACTGTTGGAAAGGCACAGAAGCTGCGGTGGCGGGCCATGTATAAGGGAAGGGCTTGATGTTGTTGTTTACCTGGCCTTGGGTGCATTACTGTGTCTGCAGGCCTGGGCTGCTTCTCAGTGTCCTTCCTGATCAGCCTGTACTACAACACCGTTCTTCTGTGGGTCCTATGGTTCTTCCTCAATTCCTTCCAATACCCACTGCCCTGGAGCACATGCCCACTGGATCTCAACAGGACAGGTGAGAACCCCCTGGGGGCTTGGAGGTTCCCTGTGCCGCGTTGGGGCAGATGCAGGTGGGGCTACAGAACACTACCTCAGCTCCCTCCCCTGAAGGGCACATTTGAAATCCAGTCTTGGCCTCTGACTACCGGATGGGCAAGAGCCATCTGGACAGATTTGTTTACAGAGAGGCACCTAGCCTCCTGCAGGGTTCTTTTTTTTATTAATTTGTTTTTTAATTTTTATTTTACATATCAATCCCAGTTCCCTCTCCCTCCCTCCCTGCCACCCTCCCTTGCTCCCTCTTTTCCTCTATCCCACCCTCACATGCACCCCACCCACCCTCCCCTCCCATCTCCCCCTCCACATGGAGGGTGATGCCCTCCAGGAGGGGTCATCTAAATCTGTCAAGTCATTTGCAGGAGGGAATAGGACTTCTCTCCTGTCTCTAGGTTAAGGGAGTTATCCCTCCATGGGAGATGAGTCCACAAAGTCCTTTTGTGCACCAGGAATACACCCTGGTTCCACTGTCTGAGGTCCCTTAGACTGCTCAGTCCTTCTAGCTGAGATCCATGTTCAGGAGGTCTGAGTCAGTCCCATGCTGGCTTTCCAGCTATCAGTCTGGGCAGAGTTCTTTATCTTAGCTTTAGTTCCAAAAGGGAAGCAAGGAAAAGTCCCTGGGGACCAAGGAGATAAATCCATTGATGGAGTGCTTGCATGAGGGTCTGAGTTTGATCCCCAGAGCTCATGTTGTATGTGGTGGTGCCTGTTTATAATCCCAGGGCTGGGGAGGCACAGAAAGGAATACTTCTGGGGCTCACTGACCAGCCAGCCTAGCCTAATTGGTGAATGTCAGACAAGTGGAAGACCCTGTCTCCAAGAAGGTAGATGGCATTTCTAAGAATGATTCCCAAGCTATCCTTTGCCCTCCATGCACACCTGTGCACCACACACACACACACACACACACACACACACACACACACACACACGCACGCACTGTGCTCCTGAGCCCAAAAGGGAGGCAGTAAAAATAACCCAAGGAGCCCTTTCAAGGACAGCTCCAGTGACAGGCCAACTGTGAAGGGCCTGCCATGGGTACCGCTTAGGGCATGCTATGGGCTGTCTGCAAACTCCGTGACTAGCCTGTAACGATGCTCTTGGCTCCAGGCTTCGTGCAGGAGTGTCAGAGCAGTGGCACTGTGAGCTACTTCTGGTACCGGCAGACTCTGAACATTACATCGGACATCAGCAACACAGGCACTATTCAGTGGAAGCTCTTCCTCTGCCTGGTGACCTGCTGGGCAACTGTGTACCTGTGTGTCCTCAGAGGCATTGAGAGCACAGGGAAGGTGAGCTGCCCTGCCTGCACACTCTGTGAGGAGCCTGTGTGCCAGAGGTGCTATCCAGAGCTGACACATCTTGGCTTCTCAATGTTCCCTTCTCCTGGTCCTGCCTGCCCTGGAATTGACCTGAATGCAGTGGGGATCGGCTTTCTTCTGTGTGCTCACACAGCATGTCCACCCTCCTCTGTGTGTATATGTTGAATGTGTGCTCTTGTTGACAGTATCTCTTTCATCCCTCTGACCGCTTTTGCCATTCTGGGGTGTTTAGGCCATTCATACCAACAGCACTGGCTGGTCTACTCCTATCCTGCCCCCAGTCAACACTAGCTGACCCCATATAACCTGTGTCCTTAAGAACCTCTCTCCCTCCCTGGCTTGGCACTGCTTTTGCTTCTAAAGTGTTAATAGCACAAGCATTGTCTGGCTCTGCTTTGAACAGGTGATTGTCTTTCAGAGACAGAGAACAGTGGAACTACTGGTTACTGCGATTCTCTGGAATGGGGGGGGCGCTTTGGAAGCCCTCCCCCATGTTGTCATGCACAGGTTCTGTTCCCGTGGCCATTTGGACCCTCACACCCTGGCTCTGCCTTTGACCGGGGGCTGCAGGTTTGGCACAGAATCCACACAGCCTGTCATGTTCTCATCAAGCTCTTGGGAATTTACCAGCAGGTCCTGTGGTCTGTCTCCTGGGGCTGAGGCACACACAGAGATCACTGTCCCCTGCAGATCCTTTCCACATGGACATTTACTGAGCAGCAGCCTGAAATACCAGCTGAGGACCAGTGCTGGCCCAGTGTAGGAGGAGAGAGTGTGGGCAGGTGTAGACAAGGCCTACCTTTGTGGCCACATGGGATGTCAGGGAAAAAAGAAGATGGTATAGGGAGGCCACTGGCCACATAGAAAGTACCCAGTGAGCCTAGAAGGAGAATTGGAGGGAGTCTGAAGAGGGGGTCAGAAGGATACAAGGCCAGAAACAAGGCTGCCCAAGAAAGATCGGGTAGAGCCCATAGCTATTGCAGAAGAGAGGCATATAGCAGGAGGAGGCCGGAAAGGCAGCTGTAGGGGGAGGCTCTGGGCTGTGGGAGGGGAGGGGGGAAATTGAAGAGGGGAGTCTGGGATATTAGGAGGAAGAAGAGGAGGCTGGGGGATAAAAAGGGGGCTGGCCAGGCAGTGGTGGTGCTTGCTTTTAATCCCAGTACTTGTGAGGCAGAGGTAGGCGGATCTCTGTGAGTTCGAGGCCAGCCTGGTCTACCAGGACAGCTAGGATTGTTACACAGAGATACCCTGACTCAACAAATGAATGAATGAATGAATGAAAGAGGAGGGTTAGGGGTGGGAAAGGGAGGCTGGAACAAAGGGTAGGAAGAGAAAGTCCGAGGAAGGGACATCTCTTTATGGGACCAATCCTTGTTCTTAAAAGAGACCTGTGTATCCTAGGACCTCAGTGCTTACCCCCAGCTGACTCCACAGGGCACAAATGTGAAAACTGAGGTACATGTGATTCTGGCCATGAGCCTAAATCATGAGTCTAACCTCACCCTGACCCCACATTCCCAAGTACCCACTGCTGGCCCAGTCTCAGAAGATGACTGGGACATGGTCCCTAGATGTCTACTCAGCTGCTCCTACAAAGGCCTTCTTGTGGCACAAGCTGGTCCACATTTCATGTTTCATTGTCCTCAGGCAATCTACTTTACAGCCCTGTTCCCTTACGTGGTGCTAACCATCTTTCTCATCAGAGGTTTGACCCTGCCTGGAGCAACAGAGGGCTTGACCTACCTGTTCACTCCCAATGTAAGTAGACCTTATTTATGCTCCAAGGGATCATGGCCAAGACATGTTGTAAGTAAGGTTTGCCAAGGCACCCACAGGAATCAGGAGGGCATCGTAGCCAGATGAAGCATGCAAGACTTCAATCTGGGAGGAGTAGGAAACGATGTGGGAAGACACAGGAGGGAGTTGGGGTGCAGCTGAGTGCAGGGCAGGGAGAGGCTGCCTGGAGAATAGGTGTCCCACACCTGGAGCAGGTAACGACCCCTGCCCTGCTCCGCATGATAGGGAGATGCAAGACTCCAGAGGCCTGGACCCAGAGAGTGTGGCCCTTCTAGATAACCCTAAGATTCTAGGAATTTTAAAACACACTTTCCCTAGTGTGAGGACAGCATAGGCACAGGTGGGCTACCTGTGCTGAGCGGATGTGTGTGAGTTATTCTAGGACACCCAGCATCAGAGAAAGCGTGTATATAGATAGCTCCTACCCTCTAGAGCACCTCAAGGTACCCTAATGCCAGGCCTAGGAGGATAGAGACTCTAAGCCCTGGGTGCGCAAGTTCTTGAGCTAGGGGCATGTGAGACTCATCTCAGAACTGGGTTTCATGCTACCCACAGGCCTGCTCACTTCTGAGATGTTAGAACAAGTCACACCCTCCTGCTCATAAGTGTGCCAAATGTTCTGGAATAGCCAGGTGGACAAGCTGGTATGGTCCGCCCATTGCATAATGAGGCCACCTCTGTTCGTTCCAGATGAAGATTCTTCAGAATCCACGGGTGTGGCTGGATGCAGCCACCCAGATTTTTTTCTCTCTGTCCCTGGCCTTTGGAGGACACATTGCTTTTGCAAGCTACAACCCGCCCAGGTATGCAGCCTATTTGGGGTATGGTGTAAGCCAGCAAACCTGAGACAGACACAGCAAATTGGAATCACACTGTTGGATAAGGGAAACCTCCTGTGAACTCCAAGTGGGAATTTCATTCTGGATAGGGCCTTTTAAAGACTTCCTGAATGACTACCACTGCATCAATGAAAGACAATACAGGATGTCCTCTAAAGCTTGCCTTAGTGTCAGAGTCAGGAGTCTACCAGAGTAGTAGGCTCACCCAAGGCTGAACAGGGATGTAAATGGTATATTACAAAAGCCACTGGAGATGCTTCAAGAACATTGGCATCCATTTGGAAATGGCAGAGCAAGGCATGTACCATGTGCCACAATGGATCATGATCAGTTCCAAAAGAATATGAGGAAACCACAAGTTATTTTGACACAGTGGTCAAAAAATAGTCTGAAGATGATCAGACAGGATTAACAGTTGTCCTTGCTGGGCAGGGTGCATGCCTTTAATCCCAGCACTTGGGAGGCAGAGGCAGGTGGATCTTTGTGAGTTTGAGGTCAACCTGGTCTATAGAGAGAGTTCCAGACAGCCTCCAGAGCTATGGAGAAATCCTGTCTTGACCCCACCCGTCCTTGCGGAAGTATTCCTTAGTGGACTTCGTGTGAGGTTGTAGTCCAGGAGCATTCCTGCAGTAGTGGCAATTAGACAATCGTGCATAAGCTCCTTCTGTCATAACCTCTGGTTTTGTTTTCTGTTATGGCTGACACAAGCGGTTTCATTTTCTTTGCGACTTATTTTAAGTTACTCTTTATTTTTATTAACTTATTTTTATGTGTGTGTGGATGTTTTGTCTACTTGTGCACATGTGTGCTTTGTCCCTGAGGAGGCCAGAAGAGGTCAGATTTACTGAAATTAGAATTACAGAGGTTTGTGGGTACTGAGAACTTACCTTCAGCCTTCTGCAAGAGCATTCCTAACTTCTGCAGGAGTATTCCTAACCAGCTATCTCTCCAGCCTCAGCAACTTCACTTTTGGTGACAGCATGCACGTCTTTCATACTGGGCAGGATGCAGACCAAAATGTGCAGGACATGCCCATGAACCATAAAAGCATATATGTACTGTCAAACTTGCTGGTCTGATGCTGACACACACAGATGCTGTTGCCAGATACCTATCCTGCACACAGCACTCAGGGTGCAGTGCCACTAATCTAAGCCACTGGGCACAGTATGACAGGCTCCAACAAATCAACTTTCTGTGGTCATTACTTCTCTGTAGGGTAGAGGAGGTTGCTGAATGTTTGTGATAGCTTGCTGGCCTGAATTCATTCAAAGCACACTTGCACGAATTCTTCTTGGAAGGCAGTCTCAAAAGCCTGCATCCATGCCCAACCCACCACCCCATTAATGCCCAGATCCTTGGTGTTTCTGAGCTGAGTTGTAGTGGAGGAGAGTGGAGAAAGGCTGAAGTCATCCTGGGAGTATGAGATCACCCTCCCATATCCTCCAGAATTGGAGTGAGCACACCTCAGGCTGTAAAGGTGCTAAGGAGGGAATCATTCCCATTTCCTTCCATAGGAAGCCTGGTTCTGACCCAGAAAATCCCATGATGGCCATGTGCTTGTGTCCAGGAACAATTGTGAGAAGGACGCCGTGATCATTGCCCTGGTCAACAGCATGACCTCCCTGTATGCATCCATCACCATCTTCTCCATCATGGGGTTCAAGGCAACCAATGACTATGGGAGGTGCCTGGACAGGTGAGAAAACTCTACTGGGATTTACAGGGCAAAGCCATGAGGCAGATGCCTATGCTGTAATCCACATATGCATAGAATGAGTGGGCATGTCCTATTTCCTCAGAGTCATAAGATGAACAGTGTCCTCTGAAAGTCCCTGTCCTCTGGCAACTTCAGAATGTGGCTTGATTAGAAGGGAATCATATTGATGGAAATAAGATAGGAATTGAGATGATGTAATCCTGGAGTAGGGTGGTGGTCTTAAAGCAACAATAGATGTCCTTATGAGCCAGAATTGGACACAGAAGAGACAGCTTTGAAGAAGAGGGCAGAGGTTACAATGGTACTGAGATAAGGCCACTGGATTCTAGAAGAGGCACACATTAGTTGCTTTTTCTCATCACTGTGACAAAATACATGACAGAAATAACTTACAAGAGGGATTAATTTTGCTCATGATTTTAGATTCTAAAATTTAGAAAGTGTAGCCCACGCTTGCTTGGTCTCATATGCTTGAGTTGGAAGAACGTCAGAACAGTAAGAGTGTGTGTGAAGATTCCTCAACTCGTTTTTATAGGCATCAAAGAAATAGAAAAGGGTCCAGTGATACGTTCTCTCTAGGACACACTTCTAGTGATGTACTTCCTTCTCAAGTTTCTAGAACCTTCAGACCAGCACTGTCTGTTGTGGGACTAGGCTTTCACATATGACCTATGGGGGATATTTTCTATTTCAACCATTACATCCCACCTCTGCCCCACAAAACCCATGGCTCTCTCACAGTGAAAAATGCATTTCAGTCTATCTCCAAGTGTCCTCAAAGTCTCAACAGTTGTAGCAATCCTTGAAAACCAAAGTTCAAAGTCTCCTATGAGATAGACAAAAAAAACTCCTAGCTGTAAGCAACTGCAACATCAGAAAGAAAGATATTTCCAAGATACAATGACACAGGAAACATTCTCATTCTGAAAGGGAGGATCAGGAGAGTAGCAACAAAGGATCAAGCCCAAGAAGACCAAAAACTAGAAGAGATAAAGATGGCACCTTGCATTTCTGCACCTGGAACCCAGCACACATGGTAGTGGTATGAGCTCCAGTAGACTTTGGTAGCCCTGCTTCCATGGCCTTGCCACTTGTAGCTCATATGACCTTTCTCTTGTACTAGTTCTACTTGTCTGCAGCTTTCCTTAGCAGAAACTCCATATTCTTGGTATCTCTAACATCTTGAGATATCCACAGCAACTTAAGCTTCACCTTCACACCTTCTCATACTGTCTAGCCCAGCAGCTGTTTGCGGGAACTATTACCTCATTTCATTGCCTGGATTCCCAAACTCTCCCAAAAATTCTGGGCAGAAGTCTTAACTTCCCTATGACACCTATATTTTACATCTCAGTAAAAGCAGCATCAAGTGGATGATGACAAGAGCTGCTATCTCCTTACTGCCTCATTGATGAGGTGGGAATCTGCCTCTTCATTAATGCCCACAGAAGAGGTGCCCCTATTCTTGGCCCACAGGTGGAAACAGCCTCCCTTTTTCCAGTGCTGGCCAAACACAGGTATCCATAGGACACCAAAGGGTCTAGAAAAGATGGAGTTTTCATCTGAGGGCTGCTATTTGTTCCAGAATCTCCCTGGAATACTGGAACATTTGCTGGCCACTTTAGAGCATCCAGTCCCATCCTCACCATCCTCTTTCTGCTCCTGCAGAAACATCTTGAGCCTCATCAATGAGTTCGACTTTCCAGAGCTTAGCATCTCCAGGGATGAATACCCAGAGGTTCTCATGTACCTGAATGCCACTCAGGCTGATAGACTGGCCCAACTCCCTCTGAAGACCTGCCATCTGGAGGACTTTCTGGATAAGGTACTCACAGGGACAGGGCAGGAGGGCTGTCCTTGGAAATCAGGCCACACAGGGAGAATTCTGAGATGCGAAAGGCTGAGGACACATCCAACAGGGAGCCACAGAAAATCACCTCAGTCCATCTGGCAGATGGGACAACTTTAGGGTGACAGCATTGCTGGGACACAGAACATACAGGAAGTAGCCATGGCCTTGTCATAGAGGCCAGTGGATGCTGGGGACCCAGAGGCACCAGGCTAGGGATGACCACTCGGGAGAAGATTCTAAGGGCAGTAGTTCCTGGCCCATGATCCCAAGGCCATAGATTCCCTGCTCAGATGTTCGGCTTCCTTATGCCTTCCTTCCCTCAGAGGCATTTCTGTGGTCTGTCTTGCCAGAAAGAAAGACAGGGTAGCACTTTTGCATCACAAGGCATGTATGTATATAGGTCAAGGTGTAGAGTTTGTACACATCACAGTATGGGGCACCCATATCATGGTGGGTATGGGGGGATGCACAAATGTGAGGCTGTGGGGCATGCACATGTCACAGTGCAGGATATATGTATATCATTGTGTGAGGCATGTGCATATCATAGTGTAGAGTACACACATGTCATAGGGAAGATAGACATGTGTCATGGTGTGGGTGCATATGTTTTATAGTAGGTACACATGTATCACAAGAGGGTGTGTATGTGTTACAGTGTGGAGCACAGACATGTCATTGTATAGGGCACATGTGTCATGCTGCGGGTTGCATATTATATGTTAAGATGAGTACACACATCAATGTATATGCACATATGTGTCACTGTGTGAGATGTGTACATGTTACAGTGGATCATATTCAGGTAAAGGTATGGATGCACATGTATAATGATGTGGGCTGTACATGTTATGATACACATGTGTTATGATACACATGACCATAGCATGGCCTTTGTGTTGCAGAGTGCCTCAGGTCCAGGTCTGGCCTTCATCGTTTTCACAGAAGCTGTCCTGCACATGCCAGGCGCTTCTGTGTGGTCGGTGCTCTTCTTTGGGATGCTATTCACCCTGGGTCTGTCCTCCATGTTTGGGAACATGGAGAGTATCATCACACCACTATTTGACATGGGGATCTTACCCAGAGGTATCCCCAAAGAAGCCATGACTGGTAAGTAGATGGGTGGAGGGCCTGTCTCCACTGTCTAGCCTAGCCTTTTGCCCATTCTGCCCACTGTTCAACAACCCGTTTGGAAGCGGAGCTCTGGGGCCCATGTTCCTGGGGAAGGTGGGGCCAGGCTGACCTCTAGAAGTTTGGAAACTCCAATGGCCCAGTTGGGGAATAGTGAGGGGGAAAGGATAGAGCTAAGGAAGATAGGTAGACGTGGGGAGAAGTTCTTTGCAGACTGAGCCCCATTCCTAGCAGGTCATCCCTGCTGTCTGGCAAAGTACTGGGAGAAATGGGGTAGAAAGCAACCAAGGGATGGAGTCAAGGAAACCTGAAAAGCCCCCTGATGCCCAGAGCCTCCTGATCCTCCACCACACTGTCTCTCACCCGGCTTACCTTTGTTCCCAGGGATCGTCTGCCTTGTCTGTTTCTTCTCAGCCATCTGCTTCACACTGCAGTCTGGAAGCTATTGGCTGGAGATCTTTGACAGTTTTGCAGCTTCTCTGAATTTGATCTTTTTTGCCTTCATGGAGGTGGTTGGGGTAATTTACGTTTATGGGATGAAGAGGTAAGCTGTATCTATGCCCCATCTCAGGGCAGAGCAGGGAATGGAGTTGGTGGTACAGTTGTACCCATAGCTGTCCGGATTTTGGGGAACACTGAGATGGTACCCTAAGATTCAGGGTGGGCTCAGGGTGCCCACTGTTCTTGATTGTAAATGATGGGCTGAGCCAGTGTGTTCTGCAGGTTCTGTGATGACATTGAGTGGATGACTGGGCGGCGGCCAAGCCTCTACTGGCAGGTGACGTGGAAGGTGGTGAGCCCTATGCTGCTGTTCAGCATCTTCCTGTCTTACATCATCCTTCTGACCCAGACATCGCCCAGCTACAAGGCTTGGAACCCCCAATATGTAGGTCCTTCCCAAAAGGTTGTTGGGATCCTCAGGCTTGACCTAGCATTTATGGTGTCACCCATGGCTTCGATGATATATGTGTGGTAGTGTAGTCTGAGCATTTCTGGTAACTGGGAAATCAGGTATGTATATAGATGGTTGTCTATAAGGCCTGAGGATGCTGGCATTCCAAGGCAGGGCCTTTGATATGTGCAGTGTGGATCTCAGTGGTTCTCAACCTGTAGGTCACAACCCTATTTGTGGTCAAGTGACCTTTCACAGGGGTCACCTAAGACCACTGGAAAACTCATATGTTTATATTACTATTTATCACAGTAGCAAAGTTGCAGTTATGAAATAGCAATGAAAATAATTTTATGGTTGGGGGTCACCACAATGAGAAAGTGAAAGGGTTGGAGCATTAGATTGAGAACCAGCGCTCTAGGTACATCATAGGTCCCACTGGCCTCTTAGGGGCATGGCCTCATTTCACTGTCTCTGCTTCAGGATGAGCAGCCAGAAAACTACTCAGTTGCTACCTATGTCAGGATGAATGGTGGACAGAGGGTGTCTATGGCTATCAGTATGGCGCCAGGATTTTCACAGTCTCCTAAGGTTGGCTAGTCCCTTCCAGCTGTGACTCCTGGCCTTTACCTAACTACCTGATCCTCAGAGGCACACATACACAGTTCTTCTCCTGCATCTGTGCCTCTCATTATCATAAGAGCAATCCTCCCAAAGTCCATCCTAAAGAGAGACCCCAGCAGAGCAGCAGGGACATGTAAAGGAGGCTGCATATTTAGGAGGTTTTTATAAGAACTGTCCGGTTAGATGTACCTTCTACTTGCCCATGCAAACACGCAAGAAGCATCTGCAAGTTTGGTGAGTGGCGTTGCCATGTCACAGAGGAGTAAGACAGGGACCCAGAGTGATAGTTGCACAAAGCTGGCCCTTTGAGGGTTCCCACCCTCAGGAGGGGCTGGAGTAGAGGAAGCTCTGGCCAAAGTTCTTTCATTTTCCCGAGAATCTGTGTGCTCACTGTTGTTTTAGGAAGTGGAGTTGCTACATTTGGGTTGGTGGTGGCCAAGGATCAGCCTGGCTCCACTTAGAGATGGGTGGTGTGATCTCTGCTAGGACACATATCTGAACATGCCCTTCTGCTCCCACAGGAACATTTCCCCTCAAGACAGGAGAAGCTGTACCCGGGCTGGGTGCAGGTCATCTGTGTGCTCCTGTCCTTCCTGCCCTCACTGTGGGTCCCGTCAATTGCTCTGGCTCATCTATTGTACCAGCACAGACGGAGGTGGAAGGAGACACATCTGGAAAGTGATCTGAAGCCACAGGAGAGCAGAAGCTGCTGAAGAGGAGAGCCAGGGTAGCCCAGGGTGGGGAGGTAGATCTGTGCCACCCAGCCCCAGTCTCATTACACTCTATCTATGACTGAGACCACGTGGTTACTGCTTTCCCAGCTTTCTGTATGGTGGAAGACTCATAGGTTCAGGGCAGCTGCATGTTGTCCAGTGGGCAACTGTGTGATGCCATTTCTCCAAATCCAAGCTCCACAGGGTGCAGTCTGTGCGGACAGGGCTTCCCTCTGGAATCCATGCTGAGTGGGGAAGCCCTGAGTGTACTCAGTTGGCACTGGCAGGCAGTGGAATCCCTTTTCTATGAATGACCTCCATATTACTAATTCCAGAAATCCAGCCCCAGTGCCGGTCTTCAAGGGAGAGCTGAGCTCGGTGGGAGGAACCTGACAGGCAGGAAACCTCTTCCTCCTCTCATATCACCCTGGGCGATATCACCACATCTATGAAGAAGCCCACAAGTGCAGATTAGAGACCATTAGAGAATCCAGTATCACACGTCTGCAACCAGTACCACAGGGGTAGAGTGGGGTGGCCAAAAGCCACGAGGTACCGAATGCACCACGGACTCACCATACATTGGCATTTTTGTCTTTCAAACATCTAGCTTTTGCTTGCCAAGGAAGTATCAAAAGGCCAGTGGCCAGTCAGTGTCTACTCTTTTGTGAGAGTGATAATCATTTATTCACTCACATCTGTTCACTCACAGTTCACTCACAGACTCTTTGTTGCCCAGTCCTCTGCCGCCTTTGGGCACAGCCATGACTTTAGAATCACAAAAGGGCTCCTTTCCTCAGTTCCTGGGTGCTCAGAGATCCCCCTTTCCCCTCCCTCTTGTCCTCTTGCATTATTATTGTGAAATCAGGGTCATCTCTGAAGCCTGTAGCCCTGGACAAGGATGTACACCTCTGACTAGTCCCCATAGAGCCATCTACACCAATCAGTGGCTTTGTGATGTTGGTGACTGCCCAGGCACAACAAACCCTCCCTGGTGTCTTGAAGGAGAGGGTGCCAGATATTGCTGTCCATGGTGCTGACATTTTAGGCAAAAAGGGCTTATGTGTGCAAATATGTCTCTTACTGGAAGCGGTTCTTGCCATGGCCAGCTCAGATCAAAGTAAACCCAGAGGTTTCTGGAGCTGTCCACCTGCAGATCCTCTGAGCACCACACATGGAATGAACCCCAATGGTGCCCAATCCAAAGAGTTCAAGCCTATGAAGGGTTAAATCCTGACCTTGGTCCAGCATCCTAGACTATGACAACTGTCCATGCCCACTTGTTCTATCTTCGACAAATGTTCTTGATAAGCAGGGATGTAAGAGGCACCATTTTTATACAAGGAGCATTTTATGTTCATATCATCTTTCAAAATTACATAGAGTGTTGCAGGGGCCTAAGGTTAGGGGAATTTTTTTGGTGCAGAACACCATAAAAACATCATGGATCTGCCAGCACCTTGGAAGAATATGCTTTCTGCTAGGGGCTGAAATGAAAGCATGTGTGCCCTGGATCCTGGAGCCAGAAACATGGAGTCCTGCTTAGCTACAGAGAACAAGGGCTTGGGTGCTCATCTCTTCGGGACAGTCCATTCTGTGTGCATTCTTGATGCAGCTATGAAAATATCTGCATAGGAAGAAAGATGGCAGCAGCCATGTCCAATAGGTGGCTGACAGGTGGACATACAGACAGATGAGCAGAGGCACACCAACCTCTACCAAACAGGCTCTGTTTTGAAGCCTCTGGTGAGTGCCTTGGAAGTTGGGAGGCTGCCAAAGCACTGTCCAGGAAGAGGGAAACAAGGGCCCAAACTGCAGAGCAAAGGTGAGTGGGTTGACCATGCCTACATGTAAGGCACCCTCAGGTTGACCCTGCCCCTGAGAAAGACATAGGCTAAGCCTGCCCAGCAAAGGCTGGACCACAAGACCTGCAGCCTTCAAGGAACACATCACTTCTCAGGGCAATGGTGTCAACTTGGAAATGAAGTTGCTGTGAATGGCCTGTCAACTCTGAGATGGACACAGTGTCCGTGTCTTCCATGGTCATGGGAGCCCTCCCTTCTCCCCTCAGCAATTATTCTCCGGCCTTGCTCCTACAACTAAGGTTGGGATTATTCTTGGAGAGGTGTTCCTCTACACTCTAGGGTGAAAGGTAATTTTGTAGCTCAGGTGATCCTGAGAACACATGCTCAGACCAGCCAACTTGCTGTATGAGAAGCAGCCCCTCCTACAAAAGGTGGAGCTGGAGCTCATTGTGAAAGGGACCCACCAATGTGGCTAGGGAGTAAGTCTACAGAGGGCACAGCCTGAAGCAGATGAGATGCTAGGCCACTGGGTCTTACCCCAGAGAGCAAGTTCCATTTGAGCCCTTTCTTTCTTTGTGTGTGAAGCAAAGACCTTGCCGTGCTGTGTTTCAACTGCAGGAGAACAGACCATGGAAGTCACCTTCCTTATGACATCATGGCAGGGGATATAGCTCAGCCATGAAGGGATACATAACATAAATTCTACCAACCCTGGATGTGCCTCCAGTGTCCTGCAGCCTTGGTAAATGGAGTTTAGCCTAAAGAGGGGTATCCCACCCCTCCCTCAATTTGAGAACCCCGCCCAGCAGCCCGGGCCACCTTGGAGTTTGTGAGCTGCAATGCCTCATCACCCTATCAGCACTTACATCTGCTGAGGTTAGGGAGGCCAGCTTTCAGGAAGTGTAAGAGGGCCTGTCCAACTTTGTGGGGCACCTGCTCTGGTCAGGTTACAGAAGTGGCTTTGTTGTCAGGGAAACTGGAATTCCCTTTGGCTTCTTAGTCTCATTAGTAAAATAATTAAAAATAAACTCAGAAGGCAGCTTGAAGATATATATATATATATATTATTTTTATATATCGATCCCAGTTCCCTCTCCCTCCCATGTCCCCCATCCTCCTCCCACCCCATTCCCCACCCATTCCTTCCAGGGTGGGTGGGGTGATGCCTTCCAGGAGGGATCATCAAAATCTGTCAAGTCATGTGGAGTACGGTCTAGGCCCTCCCTCCTGCCTCTAGGCTAAGGGAATATCCCTCCATGGGGAATGTACTACCAAAGTCCTTCCATGCACCAGGGATACATCCTGGTTCCACTGTCAGAGGTCCCTTACACTGCCCAGGCCTTCTAACTGAGACCCATGTTCGGGGGGGTCTGAGTTGGTCCAATGCTGATTTCCAAGCTATCAGCCTGGGTTTTTATTTTGTTTTTTTATTTTTTTTTAATTTTTTTTATTTTATTTATTTATTTATTTATTTATTTATTTATTTATTTATTTATTTTGAGACAGGGTTTCTCTGTGGCTTTGGAAGCTGTCCTGGAACTCACTCTAGAGACCAGGCTGGCCTGGAAATCACAGAGATCCGCCTGCCTCTGCCTCCCCAGTGCTGGGATTAAAGGTGAGTGCCACCATTGCCTGGCCCCTGGGGGGGTGTCTTTTTTTTTTTAATTAAAGTTTGAAAGAAAAACAATACAAGCAAGAAGAAAATTCTAGCAGCTACTAGAGGAGGGGGAGATTGAGAAGTTATGTCTTTTAAACTAGGTATGGATGTGGAGAAATATAAAAAGCCCAGAATACCAGGGAAAGCATGTTTAGAAATGCCAAGCTGCAGATATGAGTTCAGTGGGTATTTGATTCTAGGATTGTTTCAGGAATACAGAGCTAGAAATAGAAGCAGAGACAGCTTACTAAGAAGGGAAAGCACTCCCAAGAACATGACTACGCCAGTGAGCTTGGAAAAGAGCCCCAAAACAGAGGACTGGAGCAAGAGGTCCAGGACCCTCTATTGGACATTTCTGTAACACCCAGCTCTCCTAAGTTTGTGTATCACTAATGTCTGGAACATGATCCATTCCTTAGAAAAAGTTCAAGTGAAGGCCTCCAGTCTTCTTCTGCAAAATGGCTTCTTCATTGTGTTAATCTTGATGTTTCAACCCTGTCCCTGTCCCTTGCCACAGGACCCCAAGCCTAAGTTTGTCTCTTCACTTGTTGCCATAACAAATTCCTGAATATCAGAAGCTATTTCCCAAACACATCTACTCTTACTGCTGCAGAGGCTCAGAGTGTAAATCAGGTCTCACTGGGCCAGGATTGAGGCATGCCGAGCAGTACCTGTCTGTAGCTAGTCTGGCTGACAGTGCCTTCATTATTGGGTTTGACCCTTTCCTCCAGCTCAAAGACAACAGTGGCTGGTTTAGTCTTTCTACAACCCATTCTACTCAGTATTTCCTCTTACTGACCCCTGTGATAATCTCAGATCCACCCAGATAAACAGGATCATCCATATTTTCAGATCAATGGACCAGCTATCTTAACTTGATCTTAACACTTTAGCCACGCTCCATGATCAGATAGCATAGTCATTTTCCGGGAACCATCATTCTGCTCACCATAAGTGTGCTGGCTGATTTTATGTCAACTTGACATAAAATTTGAGAGGAGGGAACCTCAATTAAGGAAGTTCATCCAGTCAGCTGGTGGTGGTGCACACCTTTAATCCCGACTACTGGGATGCAGAGGCAGGTATATTTTCGTGAATCTAAGGCCAGCATGGTGTACAGAGAGTTCTAGGACAGCCAGGGCTACACAGAGAAACCCTGTCTTGAAAAATGGGGGCGGGGGGAGGAAAATCATCCATATGCCTGGGCTGTAGGCAAGCCTGTAGGGCATTTTCTTAATTAGTGATTGATATGGGAGGGCCCAGCACTTTGTGGGTGGAGACACTCCTGGGCTGGTGGTCTTGTTTCTATAAGAAAACAGACTGAGCAAACTAGTAAGCAGCACTCTCTTCATGGCCTCTGCATCAGCTCCTGTCTCCAGGCTCCTGTCCTGTTTGAGTTCCTATCCTGACTTCCTTCAATAATGAACAGTGATGAGTGTTGCTTTGGTCATGATGTTTCATCACAGCAATAGTAAACCTAAGACAGTAAGTTCTTGGAATGGGGGTGGTACCCTGACAAGTCCATTCAGTTTGGGAAACTCCCTTTAGTTCTATGGTATCCTTCACGGGTGAACATCTAAGTACCAAGTATTGAGCCCAGAGTGTGGGTGTCCAAATAAAGGCAGGA